ACACGTTTTCACATACACACACATACACAAGGTCAGATTCATCGTTCCATTTGCTACACATACGTTCGGGAAATACTTTCCAGCAGCGTTGAACTTTATTTTCTCGTCCATACCGAATGACGGTCTAACGACAACGCCGTTGTCAGGTGTCGTTGACGTTGGAAAACGTTCGTACGTCCGAACAAACAACTCTCGAAATAAGGTACCGGTTTATCGCTCGAAAACTATTCCAATTCCACGAGTATCGTTTCGAATCACGCGGACAATTGCATAGCCTGTCGCAGCCAGTTTCGTTCGCGTCTATCGATTTGTCTGTTTCCTTCGAGAATTACAGTGTTCCCCGGCGTGCACGATTCCCAGTGCACAATTGCTATGATGCTGTTCGGAGAATGTCGATATCGTTTTATTTAGTTCGAGACCGGGTAAGTATGTGTAAAGGCTAAAGACGAGGTGACCAAATCGAGCTTTCGAGCTTTCGCGTCGCGTCGATGATCCTTCTATCGTTTTTCAGGAACATAACTCATACGTGAAACACTACGCTACGTGATACCGATAAATCTGCAAAGTATTCCAAAGATTTTCCTATGTTTTAATCGGGAGACGCGGTTATCGCTGACTCGTGAACGTGAAGCAGACTCATGCACTATCGTACATAAATAATTGGACGTCTAGCGCAGTTTCATTAAAATTGTTGATGATTCTTTGTTCGTTTTCACAGTTAGTATTTTGCTACAACTGAGGTCGAAAATAATTTGCTAAATTTAATCTAAATCGAGGAACACGCCTGTATCACTAAAGTTTTGTATTCGTTTCTAATAAATAGCTGACTCACTTCGTGAGATTTTAAATTATAAATTTTTGAATGTTTAAGAGCGTGAAACTAAAAACGCACGTTCCAATTCTTCTTATATCTCATCGAATAAATATTTACAGATTTTCACTTGATTAAAATACTTCTGTAAAGTTGAGTCTCATTGCCTTTTTGATATTAGTTATCTAACGTGTAATAATTAACTGTAATATGTTTTCTTTTCTTATTTCATTTACGCGTTATGTTACATACATTCATTCGGTCCTTGTATATTTGCAATAACTTCGAACTGTCCAAATATATACTTATGCACAATAGTGTATATACGTACATACTCGTATCGTCAGCTTGCAAAGCTCGTAAATTCGTAAGATTGAATGGTGCGCTCGTTTATTTTTCTATCGTTTCTTTCGTCAAACATTCGTCTGGAAATTGCGAAAGGGGAGGGGGAGGCCTTAACGAGGCAAATGGTAAATTAGAAGCATCGAGCAACAATTATAGGCGCTTGTCAACACGAGACCGAGGGCCATACAGAGTATCCCAGTCTAGAATTAAACCTGTAAAAAAAAAAAAA